GTGTCTTGGTGTATGTGTGTGTGTGTATTAGTCTGTGTAAAGGTTAATGCTAAGTATTCATTCTCCAGCCTTTGGTTGGGTTCTTGGAGCAAAGATTCAATCTGAAGTTTGTGCGAAGCTTTACAAGGATGGTTAGAGCAAAATAAATGATTGCCGATGGTTTTATATGTCTGTATATTGGTTTTTAACTTGCTTTTATTGGATTGTTGTTTCTATTTGTTATGAGCTGCCCAGAATCGCTTAGATGAAATCAGATAACCATGCAAATCAAATTAATAATACTAACAGCAATAATAATACAAACCCCTTTTAAGCAGCTCCACAAAACAATCTTTTCACACAAAAGAACAACTTTCTGGGGTGTCTTATGATTTTTTCAGATGTGGAAAGGCCAATACAGGTAGTCTTTGATTTACAGCCATTCAGTTAGTGACCAGCCAAAGTTAAAACGGCAGTGAAAAAAAAGTGATTTATGACCATTTTTCGCGCTTAGGACCATTGTAGCATCCCTGTGGTCACATGATCAAAATTCAACCACTTGGCAACTGACTCATATTTATGACCGCTGCAGTGTCCCAGAGTCACGTGATCACCTTTTGCAATGGGAAAGCCAGCTTCATTTAACAACCCCGTTACTAACTTAACACCTGCAATGATTCATTTAAAAACTGTGGCTAGAAGGGTCATAAAGTGGGGCAAAACACACTTAACAACTGTCTCGCTTAGCAACAGAAATTTTGGGCTCAACTGTGGTCGTAAGTCGAGAACCTCCCTGTAATGTCATGCCTACGGTGCATAATATCTCATTAGCCAATCACTCAATATATTACTTATATGCTGAATATATTCAGTAGAATATACTCCCGACACGAGTAATGCTGTATTCTTTAATATGTTAATAAAGCATTTTTATGATCCCTTCCCCCAGAAACAACTTTGAAATGTAGTTTTGATGGGAGGAACATAAAATAACAGAGGACTGGGGGACAAGATTCTTCTCTGGAAATCTGCAATAACCGGGTGGCAACACTTAGCTAACCTTGGATTAGCTAACTTTACTAGTTAATTTAGCTAGCCTCGCTAACCTCACCTATCTGAAAAAGCTAAGCTGGATCAATATGGTTAGAATATAGACGGGAGATTACCAGGATATCACCGTGCTATAGGCTAGATTGGAAAGACAGAAAAGCGTTCCAGATGATAGCAGTAGCTAACCACTTCTGCATGGTTGTCCAAAGATGACAGAGACATATCCATGCAGCAAATGAGTCAAATTCATCTTGACAAACAAGGATTGGTTGCCATAAAGGGCAGCAACTTTTCTGGCTTTGACTGATCTTCAAAAAGACAACACGTTAGACCAGCTTCATAATTTGATGGGGAATCACCAGGAAAAAAGAATCGAGGGGTACAGATCAGACTAGGAATCTGAGAAAATATCTCAGAAGAAGACAACGTCAAACAGGTGTCAAAGTTTTGCCAAGTAAACTGGACAGACATGACCATGAAGTCACCAAGAGTCAAACTCAGTACCTTTATCTGAAAATCAAGAAAAAAAGGCATGCCGACAGAAGAGAATATTTGCAGCTCGGGGTTGAACTGTGGGGTCCTTGGTGCTCTCTGAGCTTGGTGGTTTTCTTGCAGATGTTTCATTACCAAACTAGGTTACATCATACATTCTAGTTATCAATGGGTAATGAAATGTCTGCAAGAAAACAACCAAGATCAGAGAGCACCAAGGACATGGTTAACGTGAAGTATCCAAGATACCTTATGTAGATCAGGGGTCCTCAACCTTGGCAACTTTAAGACTCCCAGAATTCCTCAGAATTGGCTGGCTGAGGAATTCTGGGAGTTGAAGTCCACAAGTCTTAAAGTTGCCAAGGTTGAGGACCCCTGATGTAGATAATAGGAAAAGTATTGTCTAGCTGAGTGTCAAGGTTGAATATATAAAGAATGCAGCTCATTGGCCATGAACAAATGTCTTGCCTTGTCTCATCTTCCTTTACTATTAAATTTTTATTCCACTTTTATTTTTGATTAACAAATGGCGGCATGCATACCTAAATGTTTTGCTTAGATTTCATTTTTAAAAGTTCCTCTTTTTAAATGACAATACCTGGGGGTATACATGTGTTCAGGGCCACGTTTCCTGATTATGTTAACATCTACTGATTATAATTTTCTTGATTGCTGTATATCCTTAATTTTCTTTTGTGCTGTCTTTGTAATTTGGTTTTAATTGATTTGATGATTGCATGTTGCCTAGTCATTTGTTTGAGATGGACGGCACATAAATTGAATAAACAGATAAATAAATTTAAAATATATCTGGACGCCATCGTTTGTTGGACCACAAAATAAAACAAGTCCTTATACTGTTGTATGAAAGTGGAATTTTCTCTGCTGATTTAAACAGGGTTTTTCTCATTCCTGATGTTTCCTCGAATATAGCAGAAAACAACACACCCTGTGTACAATCAGAATGATGGCGATTTTGCCGTGGATCACGTGAAAGAAAAATGTGACACCACACTTCAAATATCTAAAGGGCTGTCAGAAAGAATTATTTATTCGCTACCCTTCGGTCATAATAATGTTTGTGATTGATTTGATGAGAGACAAGTATTTGTCCTCTATTACGTCAAAGGACTAAATTTGCACCAGTGTTTGGGCTGAATGTCACAAGAAACTTTTTGACAGAAAAAGCAGCTCAAAAAAGAGCAATTTCTTGGAGAAATGGTGGGTTAATTTTCACTGACGTTTCCAAGCAAAAACTACCCCAACCTTTCCTGACTGAGGTAGCCTCTAAACGGATGGATTTCAGCTCTTAAAATGACTACATTTGTTGTCTGTGGAGATTCTCAGTCATCCAGGTCAAGAATTTAAGTTCTTTGTTTATTTATTTATTTATAGCCCCGGTGGTGCAGTGGTTAGAATGCAGTACTGCAGGCTGACTCTGCCCACTGCCAGCAATTCAATTCTAAATGGCTCAAGGTTGACTCAGCCTCCCATCCTTCCAAGGTCAGTAAAGTGAGGACCCAGATTGTTGGTGACAATATGTTGAATCTATAAAGCAGGAGGCAAATGGACTTTCTTGTTTTTCTTTGAAGACATTTGGCTTCTCATCCAAGAAGCTTCTTCAGCTCTGACCGGATGGTGGGGAATGGAAGGATTTATGTTCCCGGCAGACAGATGGTCATTTGCATCCTTTTAGAGAATCGTTGAAGCCACCTGGAGGGTCACCTGAGTAGCACAAACGTGTGTGGAGCCTTCTTGGCTGCAGGATGTTTTCTGCCCTGTGTCCCTTCACTGTTGAACACAGGTGCAAGCTTTTGGGGATGAGTCTGTGTTGTCTGCATTTCAAACTGAAGCGCAATATACATCCTTCCATTCCCCACTATTGTGTAGTGGGCTTCAGTAGGCAAGGAATAGACCACCATAGTTACAACGTTATTTATTGACTCAAACTAGAACTGGAGAACTGCAGGCAATTGCCTGTAATTTATACTCTGAGCCCACAGGGCCTTAACCAATCACAATACTAGAAAAAAACCCGCCCAAATATGAATGTTCAAAGTTTCCCTCCAAAACAGTTGGAGTTAACAGTCAGGGTCATCTAAAGGTTAGTTTCATTTTAGCTTCATAAGCAGTTGGAGTTAAGTTAGTTTCACCTTAGCAGGGGTTAACACAATTTTATATATTATATTCAATACATAACACCCACCATCCAGTCAGAGCTGAAGAAGCTTCTTGGATGAGAAGCGAAACGTCTTCAAAGAAAAACCCAAGAAAGTCCAGTTGCCTCATGAAAAAGCACCTTTGGGATGACTATGCTTGTTGAGAATCCCGACGAAGACCGTAGGGTGCCTAGCCTTCATCTCACACGGTGATACTGGTAGTACTCGACTTACAAAGACAACTGGACCCAACATTTCTGCCTCTAAGCAAGACAGCCTCGTTTTACGACCTTTCTTGCCACAGTTGTTAAATGAACCACTGCTGTTGTTTAAGTTAGTAACCACGGTTGTTAAGTGAATCTGGCTTCCCCATTGATTTTGCTTGTCACAAAAGGGGATCACATGACCCCAGGACATTGCAACCCGTCATGAATATGAGTCAGTTGCCAAGCGTCCGAATTCGGATCAGATGACCATGGAGATGCTGCAATGGTCATGTGAAAGTGTGAAAAATGGTCATAAGTCACTTTTTCAGTGCCACTGTAACACTGAATGGTCTCTAAACGAATGGTTGTAAGTTGAGGACTATCTGGATTCTGGATTCCCTGCTTCAAACTGTGGGTGAAAATACAGTCACCAACTCTGTCACGACCAATGTCTAACCATGTCATAGGATCTGTTGTCCACACTTCTGTTGCCACATCTCTGTGCTTTGAGGAGGATTGTCTATTTCTGTATCTGTTTATTCCAGGTGTCTATAAATGTGTATTCACAGGTATTCCTTGACTTACGACCACAACCGGGACTATTGCTAGGCATGCTAAGCAGTTGTTAAGTGAATCATGCTCAATTTGATGACTTTTATTCACCACGGCAAAGCAAATCACTGTAGTTAAGTGAATCGCATGGTCATTAAGCAAATCTGGCTTCCCATCTTGACTTTGCTTGTCAGATGCTGGCTGTGAAAGTTGCAAATGGCCATCAGCCGACCCCAGAACGCTGCAACCATTGTAACTACATTCCACTTGCCAAGCGCCTGGATTTTGATCACATGACCATGGGGATTCTGCAGATGGTCGTAAACGTGTGGGTCACTTTGTTCAGTGCCATTGCCCCTTTGAACGGTTGCTGAACAAAGGGTTGTTAAGTCGAGGACTTAACCCTGTATTTTAATTCTGTCTTGCAAGTGTTACCTTGTCAACTTAGCGCTAAAGGTTCCCCCTAGGGATGACTCTGACGCTCCTCAAGAAACGTCTTAAGACGTCTTCTAAATCCAAGTCCCAAAGTCTTATCTTTTTCTCTCTCTCTTTTGTGCTGCAGTTCCAATGGGAAATCGGTCACCTGGGCCCAGAATGAAAAAAGTACAAGCCGAGGGGCCCATCTCTGGCAGAGGCTTTCCATCCATATCAATAAGAAAGATAACCCCAACCAAACCGCGGTGATCAAACCCTTCTCTAAAAGCACAGACAGCAGCCGGCAGGGCAGTAGCACCACCATCGCCACCACGTTCCCCGAATCCAGTGCCAAAACTCTTTATGATGTCTCCGAAGCTGAAGAACACTACCCAGCTCAATATCGGGTTCAAACTCCTTCCCCCATTAGTACAGTCAGCCAGACAACTGCTTCCCTGAGCCGGACTGAAGACGATGTTCCGACTTTCCAGACGGAACAAACCCAACGGAGCAGTTCTTCCCAAGGTTCCCTGATGGAGCAAATCAGCAGCGTGGTGACCCGATTCACGGCCAACATCAGCGAACTCAACTCAATGATGCTCTCCACCGCCGCGCCAGGCCCGATGGTGACCACCCCATTGTGCTCTTCCTATCTGATTCCGAGGGAGATCCAGATCCCGACCACCATGACCACGTTTGCAGAGATCCAGCCTCTCCCTGCCATTGAGATCAATGGAGCATCTCAGTCAAGCAGGAAACCGTCGTGTGGAAGCGTCAAAGAAGGCCCTGCGGCGGAAACCCCGGCCGTTGCCAAGCCCGAGCTTGAAGAGTTGGTGGCTTTGACGCCTCCCTCTCCGTTCAGGGACTCTGTGGATTCTGGAAGTGCTTCTCCCAGTTCTCCTGCATCGGAATCCGCCATCTGTATGCCGTCTTCGCCGAAATACGACTCGCTGATGATAAGGGATTACACGCAGAGTTCTTCTTCCTTGTGAATGTAGTTGAAGTCAACTTTGAATTTCTACAGCGTCGGCTCCGTCGAGGAGACGAAGCCCATCCTCCTCCCAGTTCTCCAGTGTTTACAAGACACAATGAGAGTAATGGGTCATTTTTTTTGAGGGGGAGGGAGATGAAAAGATGCAAGGGGAAGAGTAAAAAACAACAGATGGGTTCTGCTCTTTTAAACTTACACGCACGCACGCACACATACACACATACATACACGACAAGACTTTTTAGCAGATTTTTCGTGGCCTTAAAAACATGGGCTTTTCAATGGAGAGAGAGAGAAAAAAGAAAAAGAAACGTTGCATTTATTCCTGAGGGCTTGAGAGGGAGTCTCTTACATCACTTACTTGCCAAGTGCTTTGCAACAGTGAGTAACGGGGGGACTGGAGATGGAGGAGAAACAGCAGGCAGATGACCAGAAGCGATCCAGTGTTTGTTTACTTGGATTCTTTAACCCAGAAGTAAACCTTGATCTTTTTTTCTTTCAAGACACGGAAGACCAAAATCTTGAATGTACGTTTTGTAGTGAACTCCAGACCGGGGACCAAAAGAACCAACTCCTTTTTTCTCCCCCCCCCCCTTTCAGTTGAAGGTGTTTGTTTGTTTGTTTAATGACGATCTCAACCGATAGTAATATATTCTGTCACAACGGAACACTGTTGACTGATCTGGCAGCACTCTGCCCATTGATAAATGTAAATTAACACACCGCAGCACAGCGCTGTACTCCAAGAGGGCTTATCTAGAATAACTTCCCATCTGAAGATACGTTTAAGAGAGGGAGGGGAAAACAATCTCTCTTCAGTTAAGTATCCATTTTCTTTCTTTTATTACCATGGGATATTATCATCTCGCAGAATGACAGCATTCTGCGAGTGGTTTGTGGTTTTTTTGTTTCCTGACTATTTCACCATGTTGCCAATCAATAACGAAGTAGCAAAAAAGAAAAAAAAAGAAAAAAGAAAAAAAATCACAAAATAATAATAATAATAACAATATAGTAATAGTATTTTCTGGAGTACTGTTTTGTAATTCCCTGATCAGGACATACGTTGAGCTGAATATTCGTTTTCTATAATGACGTGGGGGAGCATAAGGGTTGCTAGGTTCCCAAGGGAAACACATGTTTTTACAGATGTTCTTGCATTAACCCTGTCAGGCGACACTTCTATCAAGGAGGAAGGTCTTTCAGTCATAAGGAGGGGAACAACCGTCTCCAACAGGGAGACAAGCCAAGGGGCTATAAAAGGTGTATAAAGTAAGGGTGGGGCTGTTCCCAGGATTATTTCTGATTGGCAGACGAGAGTGCCAGTCAGCCTTCTGTCCGTCCGCAGAAGAAATTGCAATATGAGGCAACCGTCATTTTTCCGCACAGTTTTAAACACTTTATTAGGGACCCTTCTTTTCCCCTCAACATCCCTACCACCACTCCTACATTCGGAGTCAACTTTGTCAGGATATTCCAACATTTGGCATTTGGCTCACGATCCAACTGTTCAGGCTCGCTGGCCTTCCTGACCCTTGTCGGTTTAGACGTGCACAACAATCTGGAGGTCAGGGAATCAAGTCACACAAGTTGTCCATCATTAATGTTATGGGCCGCTGTTTTTAATCTAGTGAAAGTCGCTTGAGTCAGATGGTCCGGAATTGGGAGAGAAAGTTTACAAGATGGTGAGCTGCTAAATTAGACCCGATTTGAGCCTTTAGCTGAATAAATCGAATTTTATCCTCAGCAAGACATCGGCTCTGTCCTGCCTTTACATGAAACTGAAACCTTTCTCCTGAAATTTCCATTTATATCATGGGTCTCCGAACTTGGCGACTTTGAGACTGGTGGACTTCAACTCCCAGAATTCACCAGACAGCATGGCTGGCTGGGGAATTCTGGGAATCGAAGTCCACCAGTCTTAAAGTTGCCAAGATCGGAGATCCCTGCTTTATATCACCTAAACATGGGGAACAGCGTCATCTAGCTAGGCCAGGGGTAGGCAACCTTGGCTCTTTTATGACTCATTGACTTCAACTCCCAGAATTCCTGAGCCAGCCATGCTGGCTCAGGAATTCTGGGAGTTGAAGTCCACAAATCATAAAAGAGCCAAGGTTGCCTACCCCTAAGCTAGGCTAACTCTTTCGGCCTACAGTTAGTCCTCTTGTGACCAGAATTGGGATTGGACTATGTGTTGTATGCCATTGGAGTCATAAATCAAGTGTACCTGGTTTTAAGACAATTTTTGCAGCAGTCATGAAACAAATCATTGCAGGCAGTCATTAAGAAAATCACATGGCTGTTAAGTCAATCCAGCTTCCCCCTCGCCAGAATTCAAAAATGGCTGCAAGCCTCATTCACCTGACCACAGGACGATGCAATCAGTCATAAATGTGAGTCCGTTGGCCAGTGCCCAAATTGTGATCACGTCACCGCAAAGATGTGGTCACGGTCGTAAGCGTGAGCTTAGGTCATAAGTTTGCTTTTTCCAGGGCCGTCGTAGCTTTGCAGTTTGGAAAAGGGACGGTTGTAAATTGAGGACTGTTTATATATTGCTGCAGTTGTACCTTGGCACAGATCGTGCAAGGGTTCCAAGGAGGTGTAAAATATCCATCGGGATAGGTATCTCCAAAGTGTTGCTAAAGTACAATTTCCAACAGCTATTACAACTGGCAATGCTTCCTAGCTTCCTAGCAAGACCCAGGATATGTTTCCTGGCCTAAATGCTTTTGGTTGCTTTGATGTTGGTTCCCCTTGGCAGATGTTCCCCTTGGCAGATGCATGCTATACTCCTGTTCTCCTTTATATTCAGAACCTATGAATAAATGCATAAGGAGGTCTCCCAACAGCCCCCGTTTTCCTAAGCAGAGCAGAGAGACCATCATCATATTACTGGCAGGACCTTTTCAACATCTGTGGGCCCTAAGCAACTGCCCGTCACTGCCAGCTTCTGGTGCCAGCTGTGCTCAAACTCACCATAAAACCTTCCTCGTGATCACCGCCTCTGGCACAGAAAGAAGAGCACGGCAATTTATACATTCTGCAGAGAAATTACAAATATTAATTTTTAAAAAAACAAAATCATTGACTAAACAGATGTCCTCAGTTACAGAGATAGGCAGATGCATAAATGCGTGAGAAACTCTTGAGCGGCAACAACATTAAACATGTGTTTCGTTAGAGCAGCCTCCGTCTACTTGTGTTCTCCAGCTCGGCTGCGATCAGAGGACATTTAGAGCTATCAAATCTGGACTGCAAGAAACACCCCAAACAGCCCCTAAATTGCAGCAAAGGTTTTTAATATTTTTGTCATGACATCTAGAGCAGGGCTTTTCAACCTTTTCACCCATTGTACCACTTTTAGGATATGGCAACATCCGAGTACCACCAGTCGCCTAGCAAGGTGTCAAAAACTTGATGACCCCCCCCCCCAAAAAAAAGACAGCTGAGCAAGACACCTGCCTGCCCACCTGGCGGCGCTCTTCCTCCTGTTCGAGGTTTTCATTGTTGTGAGCATTTCTGTTGAGGATTGGCAGTGGGGGTGGGGTGGGGGGAGTGTTTGGTTTTTATTCCCCCCGTCTGCTGGGTGGTTGCAACAGGTTTTGGTCACTTCACATGACCCTGGGACACTGTGACCGTCATAAATATGAATCAGTTGCCAAGCATCTGAATGTAAATCACAAGACCCTGGAGATGCTGCAACATTCCAGCTGATCGGCGCTTCTTCTGGGCTCAGCGGAAGCGCCAGGATCAGTGCTGCTTTCCAGCTGATTGGTGCTTCTTCGGGCTCAGCAGAAGCACCAGGATCAGCGCCAAGCTCCAGCTGGATCCTGGTGCTAATCTTGGCGCTTCCACTGAGCCCTGACAGCCCCAAAGAAGCACCGATCAGCTGGAAAGTGGCACTGATCCTGGTGCTTCCGCTGAGCCCTGACAGCCCTGCAGCTCCAGCCCTCTCTCGCTCAGGCTTGTGCGGTGCTGCCACCGGTTCACCTCATTCCCCTCCCCCGCTACCACTTTTCTAGGATGGTCGCGTACTACCTGCCAGGTGCCAATGTACCACAGGTGGTACCTGTACCACTGGTTGAAAAGCCCTGATCTAGAGATCATCCTGAGCTTTCAGCCCAGCTCTGGTGGCTTCATCAGAATCTCCATCCAGCAAGGAATATAAGATATTTTTTTTAAAAAAAATATATATTAACAAACAAAATGAAAACAATTAAAGATACGTTAGTGTACCTACGCACATCCCCTTAGGAACTTCTTAAATATGGAGTGAAGTTCACAGAAGTTAAGTTGGAATTAAAACTGTGAAATTTAGTAGTTGAGACAACTGAATCAGGTAAGATATTCCCAATTTTGACAATAAAATCAGGTTTTTTACAATTGTGACCACATGACCCTGGGGAGGCTGCAGTGGTCGTAAATGTGAAAAATGGTCATAAGTCCCTTTTTCCCCAGTACCAATTGTAACTTTAATCAGCCACTAAGTGAACTATTGTAAATTGAGAACTACCTGTAACAGTCTGGATTAACCCTGGGATTAATGATAAGCAATAGCATGTTGTCTAGTCAGAAATGCTATGCAGACAATGGCTTACTGCAGGGGTCTTCAAACTTGGCCCTTTTATGACTTGTGGACTTCAACTTCCAGAATTCCTCAGCCAGGCACGCTGGCTGGGAAATTCTGGGAGTTGAAGTCCACAAGTCATAAAAGGACCAGGTTTGAAGACCCCTGGCTTAATGTGTGGAACTCCTACTTTGAAGTAGCAAGGCTGTTTCCCGGATATGTAGATTTCACTTATGTTCCCACCTTTTAGCTATTCAACTCTTAATGCCTCATAGTAGAATCCATTAACTCAGGGGTCCCCAATCCCCGGTCCATGGACCAGCACTGGTCCATGGCATGCCAGCAACCGGTCCACGCAAACAAGTGAAGGCTCATCCGTGGGATGCAGACAGCATGCAAAATCATGGCCCCTCCAGTCCACGGAAAAACATTTC